AGGCGGCAAAGAGTCTAGGGACACCGTTGACATCTGTGGTACACAACACTGCTGACTTACGTGCGACTTGTGCGATGGAATTTTCATCCAATGTCATTTCAGCAATTCCTTCCTGATCAACGTCAATTTCATCCACGTAAACCATCTCGGTCAGGGCCCGGGTCTTCAGACTCCATGCTGCCTGCAGGAAAGTACAAGGAATACAAGGAGTGAAATATCTGGCTGTGTCAGTACAGAGTGAACCAGCTGCTGACTGAAGGAAATGGAGACACCAATTGGTTCTCTGATCTCCCATTTTGATTTGTGCTGCCCCATAAACCTTACAAAGCTGATACCGGCCTTCCCTTTCATCTTTTACAGTCTTGCCGCCTCCTCTTCGGGACCGAAATGGCTTCCTCTGATGTCACTGCACGCTGAGAGCTTCTCACAATGTGCATTAGAAGCTCCAGCAAGTCAGATCGAGCCCGCCTCATTTCCTGGCTCGATGACGTCCAGCATCATCTAGCACTTTCCTCCCCGGCCTGACTGTCCCTGGCCCCGTCTCTTCTATTCATTCACTTCTTTCAGTCATGGAGACTCAGCATCACATGTGGGTGTTACCCTGCATGCAAATACAGTCTGCCCAGGAACGCCCACCCCTCCAGACTGACACCAAACCATCAAGGCTCTTGAATATTTACATAACTCCTCCCAGGTCCAAGTCCACTGCTTGCATCAGTCCTGAGGGCTCTTGAAAGGAGTACCAAGGCAAGATGTTGTGATGTTTTCAGGAAGCTTTGTACAGCACTCTGCCGGCCCCTCCCACCAGCCACGATCTGCCTGCCTTGCAGTGATGACATCACTGGGACTAAAATACGGTATGTACTGTCACTGCCACATAATGAAATGTCACTGGTTATGGAGGACAGTTTGTGTTTGTGATTCTGTGAGGCTGATAAAAGGAGTTGGGAATGTTAGTCAGTGCGGCCTACAATACAAGAGGAGTCAGTGCGGCCTACAATACAAGAGGAGTCAGTGCGGCCTACAATACAAGAGGAGTCAGTGCGGCCTACAATACAAGAGGAGTCAGTGCGGCCTACAATACAAGAGGAGTCAGTGCGGCCTACAATACAAGAGGAGTCAGTGCGGCCTACAATACAAGAGGAGTCAGTGCGGCCTACAATACAAGAGGAGTCAGTGCGGCCTACAATACAAGAGGAGTCAGTGCGGCCTAC